TTCTTTAACTTTTAATCCTTCCCTTGGTGATAATGTTAATCCTCTTTTTTGATGATTTTTTTTTAATTTAATTGGATATTGGTTATCATTATCTGATTATAACACTAATTCCTTATTTTTGTTCCCTAATATTTGATTAAGGAATAAATTTCCAGCACAAGAAACAAGAGAAATTAAATACATGGAAGTGAAAAAAGAAGAAATTATGAAGGCATCATTAGCACTAGGTGCATAACTTTACACATTCCACACCAATTTGGCAAAGAGCATCAAGCTTTCCAATCCCATACATCACTCAACTTGAATCATTGTGACACCCTTACTATCCCAACACATATATAATATAATTAAGTCCAAGAGGTGATGTATTGAAGGAGGCAAAAGGAATGAGTTAGTATTGAAAAAAAAACATAGGAGGAGTGAGCCCACTTTTGGGCCTTAGCTCCTAAGATTTTCTTAGCATAGCATTTATTCCTATTTTGTCCTTGTATTTGATTTCCTATTTTACCCTTGTATTTTGGGGTATTTTAGTCTTAGAATTTATTTTACTTGTATTTCCAATTTTACCCTTGTATTTTGGGGTATCTTAGTCATAGGATTTATTTTAAAAAAAAAAAAAAAAAGACAAGTCATTGTAACTTGTATCGTTCAATGTTGGTAAATTTAGTTCTTGTTTGAATAATTTTTTTTTTCACATATTTTAAAAAAATAACTAAGTTTCTCTCATAAACTAAAATTCATTCATATGTACTTAAATTTTTATAAAAATTTTCTCATCTAAATTTCCTAAAATATTATTAGACAAATTAATTTTAACTTAAAATAAAAAAAAGCTAAAAGCTAAATTCATATTACCTTCATAAATTTTATTGATTTTTACGTTCTTAAATAACTTTAGCACCGAATAAAAAGATGCTGAAAATCTTAAATGTGATATAACATGAGAAAATCCACCGAATAATAAATAAACCAAAATAAAGGGGACATGTACACCTTTGAAAGTACTCTATAAGTGCCTATATACAAAACCAATTATCGCGATAAAAGAAACGCGAAAATAACGAACAAAGTGTTAGATAAACACAAATAAAATAAAAAAGACGGTTCCAATTGAATAGCTATTCACAAATATCTTTGCTCATTTTACCTGCACATAAAAAAAAGTAATGCACTACTAAAATTCTAATTAAACACAACCAAATTTGAACCTTACTGTAAAAACACCTTTCCTAAATTCCTTTCTAATTAAAAAAGAGAAGGAAAAAAAAAAAAGATGATTGGATGTCCAATGGTAATATATTGGTATTGTTCTGAATCGGTCGGAGTCTCCATCACCATCAGCGGTTGCTATGACACTTTGTCTGTTTTGAGGCAGAAAAATATAACCATCAGATTAGATTCGAGTACCACCAACAAGGCAAAGACAATAAATCATAGTCACCTCGGTGATAACTAAAACTATGCCAACACTCAAAACGATTTAACCATCTAATAATACAGAAATTAATAGAAAGGGGACATTTGCACAAACACACAAATTCATTCCACAACCAACAAAAAAAAAATAACTATGGTGCAATTAGTTGATTGATAACACAGATTCTTAACAACAAATTTGGAATAAACAACAGAATTGACTAGTTTTCAGGTTAAATTTATTACAATGAAACTCCGTGATGAATGACTAACCTTAAAATTAAGATTTCAGATAAGTTTTTTTTTATATTTTTTTAATCATTTCAGTACTGTACACAGCAGTTGTTATTTGTCAATCAATCTTAACAATCTTAGTTTTCTTCAATCATGGGTAGCAGTGCTCCCAAATTTCAATCACCCTCCCCGCAGGAAAAAAAAAAAGTATCGAAAATAGAAAAAGTAAACGAAAATAGGCTTGCAGTTCTTTTTGACTCAAGTCCTGATGTAGAAGTTCTTAGGCACAAAAGACACATGGATGTTTTGACCTCTGTTAAGATAATAGAAAACTGCTTTGTTATAGCCACATTTTCTTCTTTGCCTTTTCTTTAAAAACTCTGAATAATTGAAGTGAAGTTTAAATGTTAAATGACAAAATACATTAATGCATAGGACTTTTTATTTTTTATTTTTGGATTCATGAAGGTGCATATGCCAGGACGAGCTCTTTATTAAATGAACCCTGAGTACACCATTTTTGTATTTAGGTGTCTTATTAGCAATGAAGCAACTGAATAATCAAAAAGTTAAACACAAAGCTATTGCAAATGCCACCATAGTTAGAGATGCCCAAACCTCTACATTTACTTCCTAAGTAGCACTCAAAATGAGCAAAAGAAACATAATGAGAACACTTTTCCAAGTAAGTTTCACAATTCACAGTAAAAGTGTATCATGCAAATATCATATACCAGTGGATCATATAACTGATAACCAACATCCCGCTTTAAAACAACATAATACTAAAACATTACTTTTAAGTAAACAGATTAATTACAACCAATCACAAGAGCACATTATAAATAACTAAGCAATGCAACAGCCAATACTCAATAGTCAAACAGTATAATTGACATGAAAAGAGGAAATCATGAACTATCTTGACACATTATAACAAAAAGAGCTTTTGACAGTATTTGAAAAATGTTACCTAATTGTGTATAAATATTGTTAATTTACTTTTGTGACATATTATCAACTATTGTATATAGTTTATGTTATTAAAAATTCTTAATGACATTTTTACATAATTAGACAATATTTTTTAAGTGTTATCAAAATGATATTTTTGTAACATTTTAATAATATTGTTAAGTTTTAATTAATTTTTTAAAATAATAATTAATTTTAATATAGATGTTATTATCAATTATATTTTATGACTCCTAATTTCCTATAAGTTTTTTAAGGTTAAAGATATTCTAAGTTAGTCACAATCATATTTATATTAAATATTAAAGTTCATTTATTTAAGTATAACTCTATGATTATATATACTTTTATGTATCATTCATTTACATGATGTGAAATTTTAATTTTGGAAAACAATTAAAGATTAGAGAGATGTACTCTTGTATATAACTTTTTTTACTTGATATGAGACTTTAATTTTGGAAATAATAAGGAAGAATAATAATGAGATGAAAAATGTTACTCTATCTATAGTAACATTTTTCAAAAAAAAAAAATGTTACAAAATAATATAGTTACTCAATCTATACACACACATAGGTCTTTTCATTTCCATGTTAGTATTTTGTTTATACTCTTAATGCTTGTTATGAAGTAATCAATCATGACTTGATATTTGATTCATTAAATATTAAAAAATATCTTTTGTAATCTAGAATTGGAACAAAATAACTGATGAATTTTGTATTTAAGAATAAAACTTAACCTATTAATTATTTTAAACCCTTATTTAATGTAAATTTATTTATTAGGTATTCAACATATTGATAACAAAGGAACTTAAGCTCCTTCCTCCAAGGAATTAAAGTTTGAGAAAATTAGTTGATTGACATTAACATTAAATGAAAGAAAATTTGAGTGATTAAGTACATGAGAGTAAAGTTTGGTAAAACCTAATCCCAATATTAACATCTGATATTATTTCTAATCTAAATCACTTTCTAATTATTCGATAAAATACCAAAAGGAACTTTATATTTCTTTTATATATGATTTTTATTTCTTAACAAATCAATATTATTTTATAAAATATTCTTTTATCTAAATTAATTGTTTATTATATCTATTGTTATATATTACACAAATCCCTTGGAAAACAATAATCACTTACTAGTAGCTTCTTGTACTACAATTGCTTAAATCGCTGAACACTAGGTCGATGCATGGAGAACATCCCAGGTCAGTCGCTACTTGATCTATGAAAAAGTAATCAGACAATTTTAGACCCATAACTATATATTTAAAGGTTAAGCACCACCTTATGATGGTAATCTATGAGAATATATTAAGTAATTTTGTGGTTAAGGATCTATAAACTGAAAGGTAATACATATTTAATAACTTAAATTGTTGATAGAATTTTATATCATTTAACGTATTAATTCTGTATTTTTAAAGAAAAATAACAATACGTTAAATAATAACAACTTATAAGTCTTCGCGGTTCCGATTTCTCTGCAGTTTTTTAGTCTTTAGTCATCTTTATCTACATGTTATTTCTTATTTTATGGATACTTTCCACCGTTATAACGTCGTTATTCTAAAAAAAGTAAACTCGCATTTAATGCATAAATTGCCGATAAAAATTATATTATTTAACATATTAATTTTTTATTTTTAAAAAATAACAATACGTTATGTAATAACAAGTTTTACAGTTTCGATTTTTCTGCAGTTTTTCGGTCTTTAGTCATCTTTATCCTCACGTTTTTCTTCTTATTGATACTTTTCACCGTTACACCGTTATTCTTCTTAACAAAATTTTATATTATTCAACAAATAAATTCTATAAACATAAAGAAAAATAAAGAATATCCTAAAAATTTCAAGTTGCAAGATATTTTTCTGATGAAAATCAGAAAAAACCAAACGCCCACTTATCCATGCAAACCAAGGGCATGACATTTTATAAAAAATAATTATTTATATTCCAAGATTTTGTTTCATAGATTTTATACATTAAAAAGTATTATTATTATAAGCAAACTCAATAAACTACTCACCAACCAAGTAGAACTGTGAGTTAATTAATGAGTAGAGTATTAAACCTTAGTATTTTATGTTGCTATTACGTCAACATTACTACTTCCGAATACGTATTTCCCGTAAATGCAAACATTGGAGGTTCCATGTGATCCTTGTCTCCCTTCTATTTTCCACGTAACCCATACACCCTGCCACACCAGATCACGCAAAACAGAAATCAAACGGTTCAAATGGAAACGTGGGTTTCACTCGCTAAGCAACGCGCGTGAGAAAACATAAATAAAGACACTCTCTCTCTCTTACTCTCTAATATATATATATATTCTATTCACAAAGATGGACCCAGAGGCAAGCACTATTCCGAAACGCAAAGGAGAGAGAAACTAGAGAGAGAGAGAGAGAGTGAGTGTGTTTTAGAGAGAGAAAGAAGAGAGAGAGAGGGAAAGAGAGTGTGTTGTTGTGTGAGTGGTTTTTCTTTGTTGCTATCTCACATGGCCTCTATGCCGTTGGGGCCGCAACAACTTCAACCACCGGAAGTGGCGGCTCCGCCGCAAGCGGAGAATGACCGATTGAGCGTCGACTCTCGCCGCAGCTCCGACGTGTCGTCCGACAAGGTAACTTCCGCTCTCGACTATTCTCTCATTGTGCGCGACCACGCGCCGTTTGCAACCGCCGTTCGCGGTGCTCGGATCGTCGTTGATCCGCCGGACAGGCCTCGGTTAGAGCGTAGCCTGCGGCGATCTGTTCGTTTCCGGCATTGTTTTTGCCTGTTCGGAGGTCGCCGGAATTTCGCTCCGGCGGTGGCTGGAGTGGCTCTAACGTTGCCTTGAAGGAATGGCGTTGTTTTCTTGCGGAATTGTCAAGTTTGTGAGCGTGGATAAATTGTTGTTGTTGCTGTTGCTGTTGTTGTTTGGTTTTAACTTGTGTTTTCGTGGTTGAGATCTTAGTGTTGAAAAATTGAAGTTCGTGGAGCTTTCTGTTTAGTGGGCCAGAAAAGGGAAATGGAATCGAGTGAAGTGAAAATGTGGAATCCTGTTCTTCAATTTGGGCTTTTCATTTCTTCAAACACACGAGAGAGAGAGAGAGAGAGAGAATCTGATTTTGTACTTAGCTTAACTTAAAGTTGGCTTACCCTCTAGTTTGTGTCATGTGAGTTCCTGAGTTTCTCATCCTTCGGGTTTGTTTTTCCCACTAAAACTCTATGGGGTTGGAATGTGTCGCAATTTTCCTCCCAAATTTTTCGCTTTTTATTAGGTTGTTTTGTTGTCCTCGTCCTCATCCATGCTGTAATTTTTTTTTTTTTTTTTCTATTAGGCCAGGTTACTTTCACTTAATCTCTTATTTTACTGGGAAATTCAAATGGCTTTGAGAATATGGTGATTTTGTTTGAAAGATGGCTCTATGTTATTTTCTGTATAATTTTTGCATATATTCATTTTAAACTTGGGTTCCTTGCTTCAAATGGGATTTCCTTGATTTGCTGGTGGATTGTTGTTCAAACGGTTTTTGTTTGCTTTGGGGAATTATTGTTCTTTGATTCTCCCTCTGTTGTCTCATAATTGATATTAAAGCTTTTCTTTGGCATTTGATGCTTTCTTGTGGACCATGGCAACCTGATTTAACTTTTTCTATGCATATACCTTATTATCTTTGAGCTCTTTATACTTCGCCTATCTTCAACTTTGACATTGATTGGTGACTATCTATCCATTTCTGCTGGTTATATTCCATTTCTGTGTTCCTCTTATCATATAAAACTTTTAATCTAGCGGCATAGGAGTAGGTGTCTAAACCAAAGTATTAACTGCTAAATTTCCGTTTATGTAAGTATTTATGTATGTCCATAAGTGACTCGGCTGAGTTGTGCATAGGTTGAGCATATGTATGTCCATAGGCATATGAAGTTGCCATGTTAAGTAAATGCTTCTAAACCAAATTATTGGTGATAATTGCTATTAAGACAAAGTTCATTGAAGTAACTCAATAAGCAATTGCTGATATTGTATTAAGAGTCTGATATTCTATTTCTTTACCACATTAAATATCTATTTATTGGTATAAATTGCAGGAAATGTCAGCTCCTGTTGCAGAGGGTAATGATGCACTCACTGGTCATATAATCTCAACCACAATTGGAGGCAAAAATGGCGAACCTAAACGAGTACGGCGCGTTCTAACCTTTCTCTTCTTCCATTTTTTTATAAAAAGAAAAACATTTCATTTTGTACTATAGATTAATATTTAGTTCCTTTTGGGACTCAGCTGAACTACATTTGTGGATTGGGTAGTTTACTTTTTAAGCTTTTTTTTATTTATTTTTTTAATTTTTTTATTAAGGATTCATTCAAAAATATAATGCTGGTAGCCAGCTGAAGTTGGCGTAATTCCTCCACCCTTATCTAATCTAACTGTTTTATTTATTTAATCTTGTTCCTCCCTTTCTATTGATTGATTATTTATGGCTTTAAAAGGTATGGTTTTGAGGAATTTTGATACATATGTCAATGATGGTTCAATAAAATTGAATGCTAAAGATTAATGATGACATTCACAAGTTCCCATTTCTTTTATTCTTCATAAATTTGTGTTCTAATACCACTTGCAGACCATCAGTTACATGGCTGAACGTGTTGTTGGCACCGGATCATTTGGAATTGTTTTCCAGGTAAGGATAAGTGAAGTAATAAACTCTTGAGGTGATAACTGTTCCTAGTTAGCTTTTCATGCTGTTAAGTATCTCATATTGCTTCACACCCTTGGGGTATGTTCCTTTTTGACCTGAAATGAAGGCAAAGTGCTTGGAGACTGGGGAGCCAGTGGCTATAAAGAAGGTCTTGCAGGACAGGCGATACAAAAATCGTGAACTGCAGTTAATGCGTTTAATGGATCATCCAAATGTAGTTTCCCTGAAGCACTGTTTTTTCTCTACGACAAGCAGAGATGAACTTTTTCTGAACTTGGTGATGGAATATGTCCCTGAGACGATGCTCCGAGTTATAAAGCACTATGGTAGTATGAACCAGAGAATGCCCCTAATCTATGTGAAATTATATACATATCAAGTATGAGGTTTTCTCTGTTTGCAATTTGGTTTGATATGTTGTTCATGCTTCGCTTTTTCATTTGAAATTTTGTAATGGTTGAGTTTGGATATGATGTTTAGATCTTTAGGGGACTGGCATATATACATACTGTACCAGGAGTTTGCCACAGGGATGTGAAGCCTCAAAATCTTTTGGTAAGTTATTCATTTGCTATTTTTTCTCAAGGAGTTGCTTACATGTATTCTAAACCTATTGTCCATTTGTTCTGTAGGTTGATCCACTCACTCACCAAGTCAAGCTTTGCGATTTTGGGAGTGCAAAAGTTCTGGTATGTTGGTATTCTTCCTGTGCATCTCATTACTTTATACATGTATGCTACCTGTTAATGGTGAACGTGGACCACTAAGGTCATGTGTTACCTACCCAGATCATAGAATTCAAAAAGCTCTTTTAAGATATGTTCACAAGTGCAATTTTAATTGTGTATGTTATGATGACATTTTAGTAAATAGCCACTAATGTTGCTATTAATCTGAATCCCAACTCTTTCCATTTTCAATAAATAGAAGGTCATTGGTTGTAATCACATGTTAAATTTATTACAGTTTGCTCATAAAAAATAAGGTGTGATTTTAATAATTTATTTCATGTCAGGTGAAGGGTGAATCAAACATTTCTTACATATGTTCACGGTACTATCGAGCCCCAGAACTAATATTTGGTGCAACAGAATACACAACTTCTATCGATATCTGGTCAGCTGGTTGTGTCCTTGCGGAACTTCTTCTAGGCCAGGTTGTTAAAATTTTAGGCCAGCTATGCACTAATGTTGCTCATACATTTTGATAATTTTTTCTTTGTTTATGAAAATATGTTATCTTGGTTTCTCATAGTTTCAAAATATTTCTTTAGCCTTTGTTCCCAGGAGAAAATCAGGTCGACCAACTTGTGGAAATTATCAAGGTGATGCCTTGTCTATGTTGATGTTACCCTGGATTGTATGAATCTAGCTACAGAGAGATACTTATTAATGTTTTTTCTTTTTGTAGGTTCTTGGTACTCCTACTCGAGAAGAAATTCGATGCATGAATCCTAATTATACCGATTTCAGATTCCCCCATATCAAAGCTCACCCTTGGCATAAGGTAACTGCATTCCTTGTCACTCCTTTTGCTTTATAACACAATAGTTATTCTGATCTGTGGTTCAGGTTTTTCACAAGCGAATGCCTCCTGAAGCAATTGACCTTGCATCAAGGCTTCTCCAATATTCACCAAAATTACGTTGCAATGCAGTAAGTAGGGCAAACCCTTGTTGTACCTCCTTCACTCCTTTCCTTTCAAGGCGCATATACTACAGAAGCATATTAGTATATTTAAAGTTAAAACGTCCAGCCTCATTGTTCATACACTATGATAAACTATAATTAGCATTGTTTTCACTGGTGGCTTCTATTTTCCAGCTGGAAGCATTGGCACATCCTTTCTTTGACGAGCTTCGTGAGCCCAATGCCCGGCTACCTAATGGTCGTCCTCTGCCTCCACTTTTTAACTTTAAAGAGGAGGTATGTATCTAATTGGTTTCTTCTATTAGATCTGATACGTAAGGCTCTTTGTATTTCAACATGGGTTTTCATGAATAACACAACAACAAATTGCACTGTTCAATTGTTTATACACATCTATGTGCACTGAATATCAGTTAATCATGATAGCATTGTACTGCTGAAAGGATTATATAATGCTTTGTTTTTGTTGAAGTTAATTATGTGGGATGTCCATGCATGTTAATAATTCTGCAATGAAAACTTTGACAGCAGTTAGCTGGAGCGGACCCTGAACTGGTTGTTAAACTCATCCCCGAGCATATCAGGCGGCAAACTGGTCTAAGCTTTCTGTATCCAGCGGACACTCAAGCCCAAGCTCAAGCCCAAGCTCAAGCCCAAGCTCAAGCTCAAGCTCAAGCTCAAGCTCAAGCTCAAGCTATCTCATTGCAAAAATCTTCCATATTTTCAGCAGTTAAATCTTGCTCTAGAAAAACCTTGATTGCAACATCTGTGCCATTCCATATGCCACGGAAAACTTCTCCAAAGAAACCTGACAAAGAACAATAGATCAATGGTCAAGCAACTATTTCTTTACAAGATCATCTGTCAAGAACATTCCCTTGAAACAGTAATTGACCATAAACTTCAAACATGCCCAAGACAATTTTACTTTTCTAAAGTTGAATAGCATTTCCACTTAAAAATTGTATTACATATACACTATTACACTCCAACTAAAAAAATAAACTCCATAATAAAGCAAATCAACTCAAGATATTCCCCTCTTCTACCTACACAGAAACTTAAAATTAATTGTTTCAAGCTAAATTAAACCCCAAGGGAACCAAACATACAAAAGAGCTTGTTCCAAAGGTTTTGTAACCCAAGGCAATCAGATGCCTCAACCATCATTCTTCACCACACCTCTTCTTGTTACACTACTTTTATAAACTTGCCAATCAGCAAAGAAACTTGCCAGTTTTGTAATTTAAGTGACATTTTGTTACAGGAATGTATGAACATTAGAAAGTGATATAAGAATAAAAATTTCCCATATTTAGTAAATAGAATAAAAATATTTCCCGAGTATAAAAGGGTATTGAAAATGTCAATTTGTGAATAGGTGAGAACAAATTTCCACCAACACCAGTGGGAATAAAATTTTCTGTGCTAAAAGACTATAAAGTTATAAATTTTCCCATGGAAATTGCCAGTATACGTATCATTACTAGGAAAATTGAATATTAATCATACACATTCTATAACATTTCCCATAAATCCTATTGCTAGGAATGTCGTTTCAAGGAAAGTGTTTTAGTTGAGAATGAAAATATATCAAACACCACCTAATGAGATCCACATTCCTGGACAAGGACAAACACAAGACTTGAAATTGATATAAAAGAAGAAAAGAAAAGAACCATCCATTTCTTTCAAGTGGAAGAACAATATTTAAGGCTCTCAGACACCAGTTTTTTACCATTGGCTGTCAGAGATCTGGATCAGATCAGTCACTAAAACACAAACATACAGACACATCTGATCAAATCTGTCACAACCCAACACAGAAATATAGAAATCCACAGCATATGATTATCCAATATTACTACTACGATAAGATATGCTTCCTTAAGTAAATTTTAGACACATAAGTTTTTGGCCCCGTTGTCGAGGACTAATATCCAAGCAATATCAACTGAAAAGGGTTTTCACTCATTTGAAATTTTTATATTTTGTTTTACTTGTTTTGGTTTTTGTCTAAGCTTGCTTCCTTGTGTTGTATGTTAACCTGCTCAAAGATGCTTGTTTTGCAATACAATTTTGAGATTTAAAAAATAACTAACAAGTTAAGGAAGGAGACAGAAAACCAAGTCATATTGGCTGAGGCGGGAGAGTTCGAGCCCATACTAGTTGAAGAAGGAGTAGAAGCAGTCATGGCAAATGAATGCCCCTTAAAAGAATTGTTTCTCCCAAACATTGAGGTAACTAATAGCCTTTGATGACTTACAGTAGTTTCTAACACTTTTAAGCTAAAGTCAACCCTCATATCCAAGGTTCAAAGTAGTGGTCAATTTGGGGGCCAACCTATTGAAGACCAAAGACGAGTTTGATCATCTTGTATAACAACATCAGAATGAACTCAAATGTAAAGAGATAGTGAAACATAGAGTCTACCGCTGTAGTGATTAGTGCGAAACACATGATGGCCTGCTTGTGGTCAAATAGAACAGGGGTCAGGCCTAAAGATGCAGTTTTTCTCCCCTTGTGAAGATGTATACATGTACTGGATGATACTCAGTGTAACCCGGAAATGTTGATTATGTCTAAATGTCTAATATTTCATTCTAGTTATACTATACTTGTACCTTGCATCTCTACCTTTTTCCACCTCATATTGCCAAGAGTTTGAAATCATTGCGTTCTTGTCTACAATGGTAGGGGGCTGTCGGAGCCCACCAAAATTCGAAGGACCGTAGTACATCAAGACCTCTTCTTTCCTAACTAATATTAGAAAATTTCCATTGAAATCCTCAAAAAAAAGATAATGAACATTACCTGCGATGAATTGGGCATAACCTTTTTATTTTTTTATTTTTTATTTATTACTATAATTTTATTTTCCCCTCTTCTCGTTTGTATATATTTTTCTTTTTCTTTTCTTTTTATCACATTTAGTAAAGTCTATTATTTTCTTCTTATTCTTCCAATATCTTTTTATTAGTCTATTTGTCCCTTTTCGTTCTCATTTTTATAACTTTCAGCTTTTTTTTTTATTTTTTACTTTTATTCTTTCTATTTTTCTCTTCTTCACTCAATTTTATCCCAAAGAGGTAGACGCACTACTCTACCTGCGCTATAATTTTGAGCCTGCGAATTTAAAGGCTAAAGAATCACAGGATTTTTCGAGCACGAGGAAAAGAATCCATCCCAAAAGTTCGTAAGAAAGGATGGAAAATAATTAAATAATCATTCTTTAAGAAGGGGTTCAATTATAGTGTCGTCGTTTTTATGGTTATTGGGAGAAACCACGGTAGTGTGGAGGATGAGGAGATAACTTATGCAAATAACTCATAAAACCACGTTCTAATATTTAACTTTAATTATTTTTATTATTTATTTTATTTTATTTTTAACAAAATACAAATACTTTTTTTACGCTAGTTTAGATAATATGACTTCTTTTTCATGCAAACAAGTATCAACTTTAAACCAAATATCTTTTTTTATTTTTATTTTTATTTTTTAATATTGTCTTAAATTCCAATACTCACGGCAAATATCGGTTGTAGGCTATCATTTGCTTGAAGCAACAAAAAGGGTGTCAAGCGAAGACAATTTACACCAAAGCACCAAACGTGCACGATATGACTAGAATGTGAAAATAGACGTGGTCGATGGTTGGCATCTGGCATAAATAATTAGATAAAGCAATTGGAGTTAGTGAATAAAATTAAAGCAAAAATATATTGTAGTCGAATTTAACATTTAATCGGGCTTGATTAGATCAATTTTAAAATTTTACCAAAATATAGTTAATAATTATAATTACTTAATTTTAAAATTTTATATTTTACTTAATAAAATATTTATTTATTTTAAATAACCACTAAATAATTAATATTTATTTATCAACTTAAATTGTGCATTTGTACTAAACCCATAGCAAATTAAATTTGTAATTGACGGAACTGCAATGGATCATGAAATGGACCGGCCTAGCCAAATTGAAATGCAAGTAGCACTGTTCAATTTATAAAGGCCCATTGCCTCCTATTTCGCACTTGCTAGATTCCTTCAGATTCTAAGGATGTCTTGTGGCTATAAGAGTGACATATCAGCAATTTCCCCTTTCTCAATTCTCAGCCAAAATTTCTTCCTCCTCAAAAATTAAAATATACCATTTTCCAATAAACTGTATAATTATAATTAACATTATATTATTTTCCTGTTTAACTTCGGTATCACTCTAGGTGCAGCTTTTGCATTCAATATTCCTTGTTTAATTTTTACTTTATAATAATAATAACAATAGCAATATCTGTGGTTGAGATTGTGTCCATTATTTTACAACTGCAGCAACCAAAATTCACATATACTGTGTCCGTTTGGAACCAGCTTCTTTACATTGGATTTAGAATCATGGCTCAGTTATTGTCTCCAGTGTGTATGGAGGCTGTCAACATCCACAACCCACTATTGAATTTGTGTTCTAAAAACTCATGGAGAATGATGGTGAAGGCTGCTAGTCCATGCACCTTTGTGACACACAGTGGAAAGAGAAGAGGATGTGGCAGGGTAAGAGTTACTGCTGAAGACTCGGTTTCTCCCACTGAGGCTGTTGCAGATGACTATTATGCAGTTCTGGGACTGGTGAGGCATCAAACTTTGACTTTCTTCTCTTTACTTTCTGCTGAAAATAATCACACACACATATAAGTTAAGAAGTCTTAGTGAGATTAAAAATTTTAAACCAATTTGTTTGAACTTAAAGTAATCATTAGTCATGATCTGATAGTTTTCCTAAAGGCAAGTTTAGTTTTTTTGACCCTTTAGTAAAATTATACACGATTCCTGATAAGTCCTTGATTGAGAGTTTTGAAAATTGTAGAATAATCTTTGATGGTCAGCTTTAAAATATTGTGTGAAATATATCTTTAGACTAAAAAATTATATTATATAGTATGTGTAATAATTAGTATTTGGTGGGTCTGTTTTCTTTATTAGCTTCCAGACGCCACACCTGAGCAAATCAAGAAGGCATACTACAATTGCATGAAATCTTGCCACCCGGACTTGAGTGGAAATGATCCTGAGACTACAAATTTCTGCATGTTTATCAATGAAGTCTACACGGTTGGTTCCATTTTAAATTTCTTAAATTTTAAGCTTTAGGGAAAATGCAAGTTGAAGTTTTGTCCTGTGCTTTTATTGGAAATTGACTATTGCAGTGCAGGTGCTCAGCGATCCCATCCAACGCAGGATTTATGATGAAATTCATGGGTATTCTTTAACGTCAATCAACCCTTTCCTGGATGATTCAAGCCCAAAGGATCATGCCTTTGTTGATGAATTCAGCTGCATAGGTACTTTACTCACTCATACATTGTTACCTTTTCTTTTACTTCTTTTGAAAGAAGAATGAGGGTTCTTGGTAATACTTCTTTTTTAGGGAAACAATTTTTCAACAAGAAATTCTATTTGTGCTCTTGTTTTCTACAACTAGGAGATCGAAAGTGAAGAGATAGAAACATGCAATTAAATGAGTGATGTCTTAATAAAATGACTTGAAGCCTAACTCAACTTTGTAAAACAGATTTGTAAAATGAGAATTGTTCTCCATTTATATGTATGGCCATCTCATTAGTTGAAGTGGGTTCTCCAACATATCCCTTTACGCCAAGGACTGCGAAGTTTGCAGAACTGGATATCTACAAATAGTCCTATAGCAGTCCAGTAGTAGGTGACCTAATAAATCTAACAATAATCAATAATTACTAGGATGTAGACTCTGATACTTTCTTAAAAAAGTGGTTTGAGAATCGAATAACCATTTTTTCAATCTACCAGGATTCAGTCAAATCATGGATTAAAGACAAATACTGGCATCTAAGTTCCTGGATGATCAGTAATCCAGTGCTTAAAATAATATGCTTAATGATTTTGTCTTAAGTGATGCTTCCTTGTGGACACCAATTATACATCTAGAAAGTTTTGCATTGAGAAATTACAAAGCATGTTATATAAAAAAAGCTGCAAATCCTTCTACAGGCTGCAAAAATTGTGCAAATGTAGCCCCTGATGTATTTGCAATTGAGGAAGACTTTGGAAGAGCCAGAGCATACAACCAAAGCGGGAATCCTGACCTAGTTCAACAGGCAATTGACAGTTGGTATGTCTATGTTTATCTCTCTAATTACCTGTATTTAACAGTTATGTCTACTACCATAATTAATGTATGATTATAATAGAAGTATAATAAAACTTGCTTTATTAATGTGTAACTTGCTTTAATATGATTAAAATTGCCATTGTTGTTTTAATGATGCCCTTTTGTGCGATATTCCAATTTTTTTATTATATAAATTAAGAATTTAAGATTAAACTTTTCTCACTAATTGGCTACATTATATAACTTTACAGACAACAATAATCCATTCAACTTTAATAAATCAAGTTTCTATAGTATATATTTTTAACTTTTAACTTCTTATTGCTGGTAGATACTTGAGGTTTATAACCTTTGGCATCACCTTGATATTGCCTCTGATGCAACTAATCTAATGAAGATTGCTGGAACTAATTTAACTTTTGTTTTTTTGTTTTTAATTTTAGCCCTGTTAGCTGCATTCATTGGACATCTGCTGCACAACTATCATTACTAGAAGATGAGATGCGCCGTGTAGAAAGAGTCAATGTAAGGTCTTGTTATAGCATATAAATATTCCAGTTCTATATTCCTAAGAAAATTTCACCACCTTTACGAAACAAGAAAAAACATCAATTCTTTTGTGGTACATGCTTTTGATTTAAGTTTGAGTTTCTTAACAATTTTCTTGATAATTTAGTGTATAGTCTCCAGGATTATACCTTTTTTCCTTTATTTTTAATACACGAAGCTTTAGTTTCCTAGTTGATTTTTTAAAATGAAACATAGATACTCAACTTCCATATGAAATCGATAAACCAAATAGCGATTTGGAGTGGAAAATTGCTTTGTTATATAAATAAATGCTATAACATTATCCCTAAATTGATTCTGAACACGGAAATGCTTATGATCGTATCAAGTGTTCTGTAAAGTACTATTTGTATATATACTGACTCTTGTACGAGCAGGTTGCCCTAATGCTATCAGGAATGGGAACAGCATCAATTGATGTTTTCAGAATGGTAAGAATAATGAAATGAATACAAGGTTAAGTAAATGTTCACAGGCTTTGTTCTATTTTTTTTTATCCACATTTGGAGGAAATTTGTGGGTCGATGACTTGATGGGGATTTCTTGGGTTGCAAAATGTAATAATCATATTGTGTGTAACGTATGAACTAATTGAAAGACCATCAATTGAGAAACATGGATTGGATATTTGTTCTGACTTTCAAAAAATGATTAAAAGGTCAACTTAACATGGATTGAGAAAGCACATTTTCTTTTCAGAATAATATAACTCAATATTTCATTTTTCAACTTGTAATCAAAGATTTGAGGATTTTTAAGTTTCAAGTAGATTAAGTACTGCAATGTTGTTGTTCTCTAACATGAGCTGCATGTATTATTGGCAGGCAAGTTCCAGATGGGAAAAGAGGCAGTCAAAAGTCTTGGTTAGAACTCCTATTTTCAAAGCCTTCTGTTTTTGCTTAATATGTGAAGTGTCACTTATTTACATGCAATTAATCTTATGACTGTTTATTACTTCTCTTGATTATATTATAATTATTATTCTGGGTTGTTTCTGGATCATATTATTTATTTTAAAAAATAAAAAAGAAAAAGAAGTATGCTACTGAGAGTTCAAAGACAAGGTGCACAAGTTTCCTTGTCTTAAATATTTGTGAGTTCTGAGTTCATTGGTATTTGGTCCTTATTGTGCTGACATGATTAACTTTCTAATAGGTCAGTGACTAATTACTCCAAGCTTAATGCTAGGGACCAATGCTTCAGAAAATGTTTATTTGAATATACTTTTGTCAATGTTGAATATAATTGAAGAATAATTTAAGCATTCCAATGATGCATGCCATAGTGGTCCATGTAAGTAAAAGAACGTTTTACTTTTAACATTGTACTCCCTCAATTCTATTTTGTTCGATTTTTAACAATTCGTAAAATCAATGTAACATTAAATATTTGTTTTCTATTATATTCTTAACTAATAACCATTATTAATGTATTCTTTAATTATATATTGGTAAGTTATGTATGATTTATTTTATGAAATCAAACATATTAATTATATTGATAACTAAAATCATATTAGTCAAACATAATGGAATGAGGGAAGCACTATTCTTTAAGACAAATAGGAGGCTCTGCAGTTTATTGCACACAAGACAATGCAATAATTTCTGACGAGTACGGAAGTCCTCAAAATCGGTGATGTTTGACCAAACTCTTAAACACAAATGAACTACAAAATCTTAAGTTTAGTCTTTTGAAATTCCACTCCTGCTTCAGTGTTCCAAAACATGTGATGCACATTAATTAGTTTCAAGCACAACCAAATATTAACGAGCTTCTTGCAGGAAAAAGCAAAATTGAGAATGATGAAGCAAGAAGGTTCTGATAAGAAAAATTCGTACTGGGACAATCTTTGGGGCAAACAGAAAGAGTATCAAAGTTCAGGTATGGGGATTATTGGAAATTATAAAAAATTGATTTCTAAAAATCTCTGTTTAAGTCTTCTTTTTTAAGTGTTGTATTGTTTTAGTAATTCTTGATCATATAGGACTTATATTTGTAATTTTTAAATGTTAAGTTCCTATCAAGAAAAAATTTCCCTAGCAAACAGGTCGGAAATATGTTACGACAATTATTAACATTGATTCACACAAGTAATAGTAACTTATGTCTTTTAATCAAATTATCCATGATTTGAATATTAACCTTGTGTATAAAATACACTATGTTAAAAAGAGAATACCTATTTATATGCATTAAGGATCTTCAACAGAGATAAATTACAGCATCTTGTGATGAATATCTCATACTAATATTATGGTTACCTAAAAATATGTTGCCACAATTACTTTTATACAATGATGATATTGTTTGTCCTAGTTAGTCTTTGAAATGGAAATTATTTTGCAGATGAGGAAGTTGAAGAAAGAGCAAAAAGAGCTGCTTCAGCAGCACGAAGATGGAGGGAATACTCAAGGAGGGGTGTTGATAAGCCTCCTACATTTAAACTTCCAGAGGCAAGCCCTGGCAAGGAAAATTGATTAGTATTTGATTTACCTTCTATATCATTTAGTCCCATGTAATTAATTCATTTATAGCCTCTAAGTTAAACCAGTGAGATCTTCTCACTCTACTAGCCATGATTGTATATGCAACAACTATGATTAAGGTAAATCTTTAGACATAGTAATACAAGGGAAAAGTATAAAAGAAAGCTAGTTTACTTCATAATTATGCTTGCAGTGTGCTCTGTACTGATTGTTAATTCTTGGGAAGGTTGCAAAGAACGAATATTTTGGTTGAAATAATTATATTTGAAGAACAAGTGAACTATTTTGTTTAAGTCGATGAAGTGGCTAAAGATAATAAGTGTATGAAATAGTTCTTAAATTTCTGTGAGTACGGATATAGAAATCCTCTCTTCAGTTGCGTTTAGTATTTTACTTAGAAATTATACGTTTTGTTTCTATACAAATAATTTTTTTATGTTGAAAAATTACGTAAAATTTCTTAAAATTAAATTTACAAGAAATAAAATAAAGGAAAAATAATGACATATATAAAACTTGATATCGGAGTTTGGTTAATTGTGCTTACTTCTATCAACTGTTATAAGTATATTATTGAAAAAAAAATATATGAATAGTATTTATAAACATTCAACTCACAGTCACAGTCAAAATACATTCACAAAATAAAATATTATTTTTTAAAATCTTATTTTTTATCTTTTTCTTTTTTTTTCTCTTGTAATTTAAATATTTTTTATAGTTATAATATGATGTTATTTATACATGTATGCAAAGTTTTTTTTCCTCATTTTGTTTTCCTATTTTAATGCATTATTTTTAATTTTATTGGTTTTCCTTATTTTTCTCTTTTAACTAAAACAAAACCCTATCTCCTTTTACTTGATAGTGTTGTTGATAATTTATGACAATTTTTCACTTGAAAAATGATTTCAGTTTATCTTTACATCTTGATCAATGCAGTAGTCTGATCTTATTTGTTATTCTATTAGGCCAACTGAAGTTGAATACAACTTCAATTTGTCAATGGTTATTACCTGTCAACATGTCTATTGGATTTTTACTTCCTAGAATCTTTCTCAATTTTAGCACCTCATCTCAAGTAAAGATCTATTGAAGTGATAACAAGGACCAATGTACTTTGTTCTAGAATGAAATACTAAATTCTTAGTCTGATGTATCGCACTCTGACTATCATTGTGCAAAACACTCTTTTCTTTGATGAATTTCATTTGTATTAAAAATTAATAATCCATAAAGCCATATCAATTTCTTACTGGCTTTTATTGCTACTACATACTTAACATCTATAGTGGATAAAGCAACAATATTTTATATTTGTGGCATTCAACTAACAATTGTAGTACCAACACTAAAAATGTAACTAGTGGTACTTCTTTGGTGATCGACTTCACTTCTAAAGTGTGCATCTACGTAGTCTTGTACTTTTGATTCTTCTTTACTAAAGTACAAAAAACTTCTCTATAATGCCTCACAAATACCTCGAAATTCACTTTACCTAGATTTGACATAAGCCTGCTAACAACTCCCATTGATAATATCTAACCTTGTATATACCATCGCATACATCAAACTTCCAATGGCTAAAGCATACGAAATTTTAGCCATGAATTATTTTTCCTCCTCCTACTAAGGGGACTAATCATTAGATAAGTGAAAGACTGACCAAAGGTGTGTTAACCAACTTGGCATTGCTCATGTTCAATCTTTGCAAAAGATGGTTGATGTACTTTGCTTGAGATAACTGCAAACTACCTTTTTGCCACTAGTGCAAAAGTAAGAATTTACGTCTGTATTTTCTCGTCGGACCTAAACATATCTAACGTAAAAAAGACGTGGTGGCATTTTTGAAAATAATGCAAACTTTTTTACGTCGGACTATATAGGATCCGACGTAAAATTTAACAATCTACGTTGGACATCAGCTACATCGGATGTAGATTGTTGCATTTATGTCGGACCCTATGTAGTCCGACGTAAAAGAGTTTTTTATATATCCACTAGCCACGAAGCCGACGGTTGGGAGCGCTCTGATTTTCCCATCATCTGCAAATCCTGCCTCAACGACAGCCCCTACGTTTGAATGGTTCCTTTCCTATCTTCTTCGCTCCTTTCGCTTTTCTATTTTCTTTATTTATAATGTTTATCTTTGGCTGCAGACAAGAGCAGAGTATGACAAGGAGTGCAAAATTTGTACAAGGCCTTTCATTGTTTTTAGATGGAGACCTGGTCAAGATGCAAGATATAAGAAAATTGAGATTTGCCAGACATGTAGTAAATTGAAAAATGTTTGTCAAGTGTGCCTTCTGGATCTTGAATATGGACTATTAGTTCAAGTTAGGGACACGACTCTCAGTATCGATTCCAATGATAGCAATTGTACACAACATAGAAACGTCACTAATGCCTTTCTACAAGGAGAACGACTTGTTCTGCAAGTAGAACGGCCCGTTCTGATTGCAGAACGGGCCGTTCTAGCATAAATTTTTTTTGGGTTTACAACTTTTTTACGTCGGTGTTCAAAAATCTCCGACGTAAATTTACGTCGATCTTAAAAACTGACGTAAATTTAAGTATCTCGCATTAACGTTGGATGTTTTTCTAATGTAAAAACCTTAAAATAACAGACGTAAAAAGCCTCTTTTGCACTAGTGTGCTTATCTCATATGATTTGCATTTCGATGATCCTTTTTGTTAAGCCCTAGTCTTTCATGTCAAATTCTTTTGACAATTATTGCTTCAAGCTTCTGATCTCGTCCATATCTAAACTAGCTACTAACATATCATCGACCTAAAGTGGCAAAATGATATAATTGAACTTATATATCTTGAAGGAACAATAGTGGTCAGTGTTGCACTTTTAGAAACCTTCCTTGTGCATGAAACTTTTAAACTTCCTATACCATTATCTTGGAGCTTATTTCAAGCCATGCAAGTTTTTCTTTAATCTTTACACCATATTCTTTTTTCCTTCTTCTGAGAAACCTTTAGGTTGATGCATGTAAATCTCATCATCTAAATCTCCATGAAGAAATATAGTCTTAACATCCAATTACTCGAGATAGATCCTTTCACTAGCAATGATACTTAAGACGAATCTAATAGTATTTAGTTTTACAACTAGAGAAAAGATTTCAGAGCAGTCAACTCCTTCCTTTTTGTGAAATCCTTTAACAAGTAGACGAACTTTATATCCACGGGAGCCATTATGATCCTCCTTCACCCAATACACCTATTTATTGTGAAACACCTTTTTTCCAAGAGGTAATTCTATTAGTTCCTACGTCTGATTGGATATTAAAGACTTCTCTCATCTTTCATGGCAAGGTTTGACTTAATAGCACCTGTAGTTTGACATTCTTTTTGTAGTTTTTAGGTTCCTCTTCATCAGTTAACAATATATATATAATTTAGGTATTTACTATTAGACACATGAGGCCGAGAAGACCTTTTCAAAACAGAAGTTGGAGTAGAAGGCTTTGGTGTGTCAAGTTGTTGTTCATTGTTATTTTCAATTGATTCCATAGGCGAGTAGCCAAACTCATACTCACCATAACTAATAAAAGTGCACTTTTTTGATTTAGGATCAAGTTTATCCCTACCTTGACCAATAATGTGCACATATGTTACACAACCAAAGACTTTAAGATGTGAGAGTTTTACCTCTTTTCCATTCCGTACCTCTTCTGGTATTTTTTGCTCCAATGGTACTAATGGACCTCGATTGATTGAGTAATTTGTTGTGTTCACCACTTTTGCTTAGAACTGCTTTGGTAAACCTAATTGCAAATGCAAGCTTTTGACTCTTTCAATCAATGTTTGATTCATACGCTCAGTTACACTATTGTGTTGACTATTGAGGCATATCGTGCATGATCCTCTCCATTTTGATCATGTGTTTATAGCAAAACTTCTTAAACCTAGTGTCTTCATATTCACCATCATTGTCTGTTCTAAGTTTTTTGATCTTTAAACTTGTCTCATTTTCTACCATGGCTTTCCAAATCTAGAAAGCCTCAAATACTTTAAACTTATGTATCAGAAAGTATACCTATACATTCCTAGGGTGATCATCAATAAAAGTCATGTAGTATTGCTTCTCACTAATGGATGGAATAGTCGTTGGACCCCAAACATTAGAGTGAAGAAGCTCAAGTCTTTCCTTATTGGTGACCAAGTTCATGATGAAAGCTTACTTTATCTTGATTATTACAAAGAATTCCTCTCATGTTTAAAAGAGTGCAAATTATATTGATGTGTGTTAATGCTAAGTTAGGCATGTTTATTTTGTGCATTATAAGTATCAACGCTCGTACTTCATCAAATTTGATTCCAATTGAACTTAATTGGGTTGTGACTATATTGAGTTCATTAAGATGTTATGTTGTCAATGCGCCTTTTATCATTCGCAAATTAAATAATTGGCTTATCAAATAAACTTTGTTTGAAGATGATGACTTTTCATACATACTAGAAAGAGTCACCATAAAACCCACCATGGTATTTTCTTTTGCAATGTTGAATGTAAAGTTGCGTGATAATGTCAATCAAATTACTCCAAGGGCTTTGTCTCTCGAGAAGAGCTCAATCTTCATCCCTCATGCCCTTTGATTTGTTTCCTTAAAGAAGTTGATACAACTTTTTTTGATATAGATAATCTTCAATGTGCATATGCCAAAAGCTAACATTTGCACCATCGAACTTCTCAATTTTTACCTTTCTTTCATCTATGACCATTATTTCTCTCAAATCTAATTCCTTCTAGATCGATTATAAATTCTTTTAAGAATTGATAAAATTCAACATCAAAGCACTTGATACCAATTGTTGAGAAATTATGCAGGATTTTTGATAATCAAATTTTCCAGAAAGAAAATAAATGTGAAATAATAACACACAAAACTTGATAATGAACTTCAGTTAATTGTGTCTACATCTTCAGGTTGTTATAGATATATTATTGAAAAAAAAAGGAGAAAATATAAATAGTTTTTACAAACACTCAACTCATAGCCCAAATACACACATAAAATAAAATTTTATTTTCTAAAATCTTATTTTCTATCTCTCTTTTTCTCTCTCATAATTAGAATGTTTTTGGTGGTTATAGCATGGTGTTATTTATACATGCATGCAAAATTTTCTATTCCTCTCCTTTTGTTTTCTTATTTTCATGCATTGTTTTAATTTTATTAGTATTCCTTATTTTTCTTTTGAAGTAAAACAACACCCTATACCCCTTTTATTTGGTAGTGTTGTTGACCATTTCCAACATCAAAGTTATGAATTGACAAGTGCAGTTCATACCCTTAATCATTTCCATGACTTAATCAAAACCATATATACCATAACATACTTGTACAAGTAAATGATTAGTCATTTCGACTATTTCGGCCACCAAGATAGTCGAGATCAACCTTTCATACACCGCTAATCGGGTATGGATAACAGTTATCCCAACCACATAGGATGTCTCAGCCACCGAAATAATTGAGACTAACAACCTTGATACACCGTTAATTTAGTACTAGCTAGTTGTACTAACCTTGTGTAGATGTCTCAACACCCTCGACTATCGAGATGGTTGATGTAGACAACATTGGTATAGTTTCTTAGTCACAACCCTCAATCATAAGTAGTTTTTTTTGGCACTTTCAACAATTGAGTATGCTGAAAAGTGTTGAAACAGTTGAAAAAATCAAGATAATCACACCATCGAGTCATTATTATGCAAATTACAACTGATGAAGAAGTCAAATAAGGTTAGGATTTTAACCCATATTAGCAACCGTACGTATTACCTAATTGGTAATTAGAAATCAAAAGCTCAATAGATCCAAGCCTATCACGGTAAATATAAATAGTTACACAAATTGAAATAAAATTACTTTTTATTTATTATCCATCTAGATATTTGAGCATTAGAGTGTCTTTTATTGATACCCTACCCCTTGGAGTCATCAACTGCAAGAATTTCATAGCTCTTGACATAAAAAATTTACCAATGTATTTTTAGACGAGTACAACATAGTTACTCTTTCATGATTAATTTAAACATATCTTTTTTATTCATTTTTTTCTCAAATAATAACTTCATATTGAATCATGGTAATAGAATGTCCTCTCACAAGTATTGTAATACACATTATTTTTTTTTCTCTGTCCACAAATCATTTCAAGTGAGTTTTCTCTTTAAATCTCTTTGCAAATTCAATAATGCAACCTAATTGACAATAGACAAAGGAAATGCAAAATATACAAGCAAAACATCAATTTTATGAGATCGTGTGTCGCAAATCTTTTCTACCGCAAAAGAACCGGCTATATAATTGTTTATGATAACTTCTTGTTTGGTCTTTACAGAATAGGAAGAAGTACCTGAATTTGTGCAAGAAAACTAATCATCTTTATGGTATCATTATAAAATGATTAGCTTTAATATTCCCAATATTCTAGCTAGCCCATAACAATACTTGATAGAATATACCTAGTTTGGTTCTCACACAGACGTTTATATCTGAGTGATGTATGGAGCTTCTCAATGATATATATATATATATATAACTTTATCTTGATTATTACATATATATATATATATATATAATCTAATTAGCATAATATGTGGTAGAGGTTTGATATATGTACAGTAATGCGAAAGATAGAATGTGGTAAATTAGTAGACTAGATGATAATTTTATATCCACTAGTAGTATATTCTTAAATATAGATCACAACACTTTGAAGAATTAATTCTTCATTTTTGACAAAAGAATATTTTGGTTTATAAAAAAAATACTAAGCGTAATGTATAGTGGTGTGTTTATGCAAAGAGTTAAACTCTTTCTTAGATAAACCTATTTTTATTAAGGTTGAAAGAAAACAAATATATCTTCTTGGTATAACAAATCTTAGTTTGCTATTTAATACAAGTGAAGTCTCAATTTAGGGTATATTTAAATAAAATTTCCATAAAAACTTAAAAAATGAAAAGAAAAAAAAAATTTCTTTATAAGCTAAAATTAATTACAAGTCAAAATATATATATATATATATGAGGAGGGTTCAAATGACACCGGTGTAACTTTTATTAAGTGTTACACCGCTTAATAACTTTATATTAAATGTGAATTTTGAAAATTCAACCGTTAGATTGAAAGTTCATATCTCTTAGATCATATATGTCAAATTTTGTTCATTAAAACCAACTTGATTCATTGTCTAACCTCAATTTCAAATTAGAGATACTCAATCACATTAAGTTGGTTGTAGTAGGTACAGTTTGATCATTTAGACCAAAGTTTTTCTTTTCATTATTTAAGGTATTTAAGGGTATCTTCTGTCGAACATATGAATTATTTTATTTGAAAGTTTAATAAATATTAAATAGGTAGACATCCTTTTTTAATTTAAATTTTTTATATTTATAAAAATTGAATCTCTGATTATTCGATTAAACAACCTGAATCTCTTACTACTCACATTAATCCAAATTGATCTTTATAACAGACACTTAGGTAAAAGTCTCCAACCATATTCAAAAAATTTCATTAATGTTCATATTTAATTACATTAACTGACATATGTACCAAATGTATCATACTAAATGTATATAATACTTTTCCTTTCGTTGTCTAAACAGCAAATACAGACACTGATCGAGATTTTGTTCTCTTTTTCCTTGTTGGAGGGAGATTTTCAAATAAAAAACCATTAACAATGTTTATATAAAAAAAATGTAATCACTTAAACAGTTAAATTAAATATGATAACTCAGTACAATATACGATGAGAATCATGCATTTATTTATTTATTTTTTTTTAAAAAGTTTCCCTATCAATTGTCTTTCACTTTCATTGCTAACTGGTGATTTTCTCAATAAACTACATAAGAAAACAAAACATAGGATTAATCATCTTTTAAGTGTACTGTGCATCTTATATATAAATAAAAATAATAACTTACGGATGAGAAATTATTTATTTAAAGTATAAACAATGAGTTAACAAAAGTTGTATCCCTTATAACTGTCCTCATAAGTTGTGTCCCTTATAACTTAAGAAGAATTGAATCCAAAAGCCGAAAGAAAAGTGGGAGCTATAGAATATACTTGGAGTTAAAAATACCCAAATTGGGTGGGAATTTTCAAGGCAATATATCATTTTTATCTATTTTATAATCTTGGAAATTTCGCAAAAATAGCAAAAAGTCAATTTGATGTGAAAATTGAGAGACATAATCATTAAAAGTTTGAATTTAATCTCTAACCTCTCTAAAAATGTTTTTTAAGTATTGCCTGATGCAATTATCAGACCACATTTGCCAGTGGAGTTGCATGAGTGGATGGGAAGTGGAGACGACTTCCTTTTTTTTATTTTTTATTTTATCTTAGATTTAAAGTGTGACAGCAATGGGTCTTAACTTTAGTTAATCGAACATTATGCTAAAAGTGGCTGCATCCACTAAAGTGTAAATAATAACTAGTGGACCTCCTTATCTTCTTGTCTTTATCACTAAGGCCCAGCCACTCTTGTAATTCACTAACAATATTATTAAGAAATTTGGGTTGGTATGAAACTGTGTCAACCACATCATTAAAAGCCTAGTGTTCAACCTATTGAGTTGTTCGATTATATAGGAAAGAGAAAACAAATAATTGAAGAAACATTAAGAGTGTCTCAATGCACTTAGAAAAAAACAAATCAAACTTCTTTAGAGGAAAATTTCTGATCCAAACAAGATGGAAAATGGACCAATACCAAAACAATAATCAAGTCAAATCCATCTGTCATCATGTACCTTCTCTTCATAGTTCATATGATCATATGCTTCATTTCTCAAAATTGATAAAACTGCACATGGGAAAATTTGGCACAAAAATAACTTGGGAAATTTACATATATGATTATAGAAAGAGAATTTTTTTACATAAATTTAGAACAACTTTTGAGATTTTCTTTTCATAAAAATAACTCTAAAAAAAACAGAAGAATTTTTAAGAATTTCTATACTGATAAAAAAAAATTAAAAATCCTTTTAAATTTATATCCAATAATGTTCAGAAATATATTTAACTGAAGACTTTCTAAACAAAAGAAAGAAGATTGCACTTAGAACATCCACCAGAAAAAGGAAACTTATTCATTGTTATCTTACAATGGATGCAACTGTGTGAGCCCAGAACCTGAGATTGTCCTTTATGTCTATCTCATTGCCTACAACTGGTACCCTCCAATTTAACAAAGGATTCACAACCTTCCTTTGGTCTAAAACACCCCAAGCTTCAGACAAATAAGGCCTGCAAATCACGGTTTCATCAATTTTCTCTTCTGAATTCACTCCAACGTCCTCTATTCCTAGCCTTTGCAACCCTGGTATCAAAGAAACCAACTTTGAGTCCTTGTCCTCCTCAGAAAACACAAAACCCAAGTCCATGAACCCTTTTAGCTCCTTAAACTCAAGGTCTGAAAGGCTCCTAGTAGCTTTTCCTTTTCTGAATCTTCTTCTGTGACCATGACTCATCTTTTTCTTACGGGGCACTTCTTCATCTTCATCTTCATGCTTTCTGTTACCATTTTCCACAGGAAATTCTTCCACTTCCTTTCCAGAGAGAATTGGTCTCAGCTTCTGTGGTGTGAGAACAGAGTTTGGTGATGGAAAATCAGAGAAAACACCCACAGTTGAGCCCAAGTTTTGGTCACTAAAAGACCTCACTTGAAGTGTTGGAATCCTCATGAGCTTTGAATCTAAAGGAAGCACTTTTTTCACATGAGACTGAGGGGTTGTTGAATCCACTGGTGAAAGAAAAAGTGGAGGGGTTTTGTTGGTGAAAATTGTTGTCTCAAACCAATTGGTATCCAACAATTTCAGAACTTCTTCTGCATCCATAATGAGAAGGTTGTTGTTTGGGGAGAAGAAGAGGATTCAATAATCTAGAGCAGCATTGCTTGATTGCCCCATACTCTATGCATTTATAGCTCCCAGTTTATTGCCATGTGTGCACTGCTGGATATATAAAGCCATTTTCTCATAGATTTTGCTTTCAAAACTGTTTTTTAAACATCAAAAGTTATTAGATTTTAAAGATTATTTCCAAAATAAATGTTTCAAAAGAAAAAAAAAACTAAATTACACCTTTTTATAATATTCTATATTTTGTAATTTTAGTTGCTAATTTTAAATATCTATTTAATCTTTAATTTTATAAAACTTACCATTTTAGTTAAATTTTCATTTGTTGATCATTAAAAAAGTATAATATTGATTAAGACTTAATAATAAACAAATAATGTTACTCAAAATTTCGCTTCTCAATCAAATCATTCAAAAACTATTTTTTACAACTATAAATAATCAAAATTTGTTCAAACCTTCTAATCATTAACTGTTTACTTTTATTTTATTTTAAAAATATAGAGTTTTAGAATGTAAACACGGTCTATCCTTATTAATTTTACAGATAACAATTTTTGGGCTTATGAAATGTTAGATAACATTTTTAGGGCTTATGAAATGTTAGATAACATTTTTAGGGCTTATGAAATGTGAGACAGGCCTCGCATAAACTTTATATGGATAAAACTTGTCTCAATTTAATTATAAAATTATAATTTAATTTAAATGCATTATTAATGTAAAAAAATTGATGTTAAAGTGGTTTGACATTTATGTATTTTAACTAAGCATTGAGATTTTATATTTGTCTTAGACATAGAGTAGAAATTGAAGATATCACTTTATTTTTATTGAGACTGATTTAATGGAAATGAGTTATATCTTTTTATCAATAAAAAAAATCAATTAGAAATTATTGTGAATATGCAAACCTACATTATTGAATGTAGTGAACAAATGTGTTGTTCACTTTAATTAAATTATTAGTGTATATTTAAAAATATTATATTTTACACTCCCTAATTTTATATATTAAATTTACTAATGATTGTTTTCAACATTTATATTTTGACCTTTGTATATGTGATTATGATAATTATAATTAATTTTTATTTAAAAATAAATAAATCTCCCTCCTAACCTACAAATTTGAATCTGCTATGCAATTATATTAAATATTCAAAACGAAACTTTACCGTCTACAACAATTTTATTTAACTTGAACAATATTGTGAATGGTAAAAACTCTTGTGGTCTATAAGAAAAAATAATTCTCGAAATTATACAAGTTGTTTTATAAAAATGTTCTTATATCTATCAATTCATTTAGTCACGTAAAAGATATTTAAAAAAAATCATTTAGACCAACTCATTCATATTCAAATTTGGCTTAAGAAAAAAGAAAAAAACTGCTTTATTAGATATAAATTCATTTAAATTCGAGCCTATAGATATCAATCCATTCAATCGCAGGGTTAAAAGAATTAGTATAAATGAGTCTGTAAGGTTTTCATCTTTTCTTTAGTTCGAAAAGAAAGAAAAAGATATGAAACTCATTTTACTAAACCTAACCTCATTCGTTCTCTAATTTCTTCAATAATTTAGAACGCTCGTTCACGTGTTGCCGAAGCCATTTTCACAAATTGACAAAAATATTCAACAATAATTGCGGTGTTTACAATGACTAGCTATGATATTTTTATATCACGTGCATATTAGAATGCCAAAAGGATTCTCAAAAGACATCACCTATTTTCTCTTTAACTTGTACTATCATCGTGACCTTCAGGGCATGTTTGAAGATTTTGAACAAGAAGAAGAAAACAAAAGGCCAAATTTCCATTCTAAGTAAACATTATCTTATTTGAAAAAACTTAGAAGGAAAAAAAAAACAAAATGAAATACCATATAACTTTTTAATGATGTATAACTCTCTAAAAAATTTCATTTCTTTCTTCGAACCCCTCATTTAAAAATAATTGTTAATTTTAAAGTATTATAGCTAAGTAGAGAGTCCATGTCAGCATGTGACAAAATAAGCTATACTCATCAAACTGATTTATAGTCTCTAATTAGTAGTAGTTAGTTGTTATCATTTTTTATACGGAATTCATTTATTATATGTCACACAACTAGTTGAGTAGTTCTTATACATATTATAAAATCTTTAGAAATAATATTTCAAGTCAACCTTTACGCACTACTTTTAAGAAATAAAACTAGCACCGATTCTAAGTAATTAATGTATAAGGTTAGAGTAATCTATCTATTCTTAAAAAAAAAAAAAAAAAAGTTGATAAACATAGATTCCTTTCAAATATTTAAGCTGAGACAATTCCACACGAGTCACATGCGCTGTGATAATTTATGTTTACTTTATTAGAAAAAATAAAAATAAATAAATAAATGACGCATTTCCATAAGCTTTAGTTAATTAAATTGGAGAATTTATCTTTATACATTAAAAAAAAAAAGTTTTCTTATCACGACCTTTATAAAAAAAAAAAAAGCTGCAGGCCCATATATCACAATGGAAACGGAAATGGGCCATATCTGACAAATAATCTAGCTGCGCCCAAAGTGCATGGATGAAGGACAAGTTTAACAAAACAAAATTAATGAATGACAAGGTGATGCATTTTCGACTTTTTTTTTTTTTTTTCAAATCCCAACTGATAAGTAATAACTATTACATCATGTAAAAATATAGTTTTAAAAATCGGATTAGTCATTAAACCGGTTAAGGTACTAGATCAGTGGATCAAAGGTTAAACTGGTGAGTCACTAATTAAATTGTATGACCTGGATTTTATTAATTTTAAAAAAAAAATATTCATGTTAAATATATTTTATACTTATAAACTCCAATAAATTCATATCCTATTTTAAATTTCAATTTTCATCTTATTTAAAATTATCTTTATTTTTATTTCGTATAAAGAAATACATAAAAAATTACATGTTAAATGGTATATTAATACAAATTAAAAATATAAATAATATGTACATATATAATATGCTTGCAATTAATATCACAAAATAATATATGTAATATCTACATAGATATTATATTATAAAATATATAATTTAAAATTAATAATATACTATAAAAGTTATTTAAGTTGTATATATTACAAATAAATACATTAGAACAAGTAGTCACTGTTATGTTTAATAAGACTCTTTGTTCTTCTATTAAAAGATTTAATTCTCATTGTTATTTTTATAATTTATGGTCCCTTAAAAAGAATAACAAAAATTTGTAGTTAAACCAGTTTGGCCCACTGGTTCACTGATCAAACCAAAAAATTGATCAGTTCAATCCGATTTGAAACGAATAAAATACATAACCGATCTAATTTAAGGTTTGGACTGATTGAACCACTGGTTCCTGATTCAACCAGTCCGACCAGCCGGTCCAATCCAGTTTTTAAAACATTGTGTAAAAGAAAGAGATTTTTATTTTAATTAACGACGGATTTTTTCTTCCTCTTTCTACCCATAAAAAAGTTACAAAAATAGTGGTAACAGAAATTTAACTAAATCCCCCATGTTTCTACTTTAATCTCTTTTTTTTTTATCATTATGCTAATTTTAGTAGTTATTAACAACAAATTTAGTAACTTATTGACAATCTGTTTTTCAAGAGTATTTTAAATTATTTACTATGTATGCAAGAATAATTTATTTATGGATTTTTTCCATTGGAATCGAAATTAAAGGATAATAATGAATTCAATTATGATTCTTGCAGAATTATTGGGTTTTAAGCAAGCTTCATTCTTGTGTTCTTAAGATCAGCCTTAGCCACCCAAATGCTCTATGCCAAATCACACAAATTTGTCATTATCTCCAACTCTTGCATCATCAATCATTGAATTAAGTTTGATTACAATATAATTATTTGCCACCATAAATTGTCTAAATATGAAAAAAAAAACTTCGGAAATTAAATTCTTTCGTCGAAGAGATAACTAGTAAATTATAATCGAATGATAATACAAAAGAACGTAGATTGACAATTATTTAAGACAATTTTGTTAATACGTACGTGGAGTCTTTATATTACAACTCTTAAAGATTGTTGTGTTACTTTAATCATAGAATTAGAAAAGTACAGCTTTTTACGAAAAAGAAAAGGCATTACAAACACTTTATAATACATTTATCTTTGTCCTCTCTTTACTTCACATTTTATTTCCACACAACCAATGAAAACGTTTTATAATCAAAGAGGAGTACCAGCTGTGTTATTGGGATTACACAAAATCTGACATTGTTAAATAGTTCAGCATAATTAGGTCTCAAAGATATGGTACAATGAATTAACCACCCATATATAGAATATACACGTGGAATATAATATCTAGAAAAACAACTTAAATTATATAATGAAATAACATCCATGCAATCAACAAATTGAAATTGTCGAATGAAAATCAAATTCATTTTATGTCCCTTAAATATTCTAATCCCTTTGTTCTTTGCTCATACATAAGGTATATCCCAAGATATCGAACTGATTAATCTTCCCCTCTTCAAATAGGAACATGTTACTTAACATATTATAAGAGGTATGATTCTCACAAAGCCAAATGGATGGAGAGTTTACCTAAGGAATTGTTGCACATGAAAGCTAACCCCGCCGGCACCTCAGAAAATAATTTTATATATCTAAAAGAATTCTTCCTGTTAGATGCCTTTGCTTATCTGTATTAATGGGATACGCGAGTCTCTATCCCCAGATTTGAAATGAAGAATGAATCTCATGTATATCATTCTTGTAAAAATTGAATTGCATCATTTTCTTTTCATCATTCTTCTTTTCCTCTCATAGTTTGCCGTTAATCTTGGTTATAGAAAGTATGTCAAGTGTCAACTTATGAAAAAATAATCGTTACTGTGAATCAAAATGAATTACTAAAATTAAAGTGTTTGTGAGAATTATTGTTGTAAAAGTATTAAATTATATATATATATAAACATTTTTTTCACATATCAACAATTCTTTTACTTATAAAATTAATCATTTATACATAGTGATGACAAAAAAAAGTTCATACACACAAATATCTAAAGATAAA